CACTGACGTGAGAAAGAAACATCAATCAACTGCCTCTCTCAAGCATCCTGACCAGGAGCAGAACCCACAACCCAGGTATGTGCCCTGACTGGGAATCGAACCAACAACCTTTCGCTTTGCAGGACAACGCCCAACCCACAGGGATGCACCGCTCAGAGCTATATTTCAATTTTATAGTAGTCTATTTTTACTGTACTTTTTGAAAATATTAACCCATGATGAGTTGAAAATTAAGAAAAAGAAAACTGGTCCTCACAATGGATAATGTTGAGAGACTCTGATCAAGAATATAGCTGGTAAACAAAAGGCTGAAAAATACATATGGGGATTAAAGAAAGACAGTAAGTGAAAAGGTCTAACACATATTCAATTACCAGCAAAGAAAGAAGAGAGACTAATATAACAACTGAAGAAATAATGGCTGGCAACATTCCACTGCTGAGGAAATACAACGATCCACAGATTTCCAGATGAATCCCCCTCAAAATTGGATTTAAAAAAAAAAACTACAAAAAACCCACATGGATGCTGGCACTGGAACTACTGAAAAATCAATGTCAGAGACAAAAATCAGGGAAGAAGTCAAAAATCCCAACACCTTCAAGAGTGGCCCAGGCTTCTCAGTGCTCAGGGAAAAGGTCAAAGGCCATGAAATGCTCCTCTTCAATGTCCTGAAGGAAAACAGTTCAGCCTACAATTCGATATTCAGCAAGTATATTTCAGGAAGGAGGGCAAATTAAAGGCATTTTCCAGATAACCAAATGCCAGATTTGCTCCCAGTAGACTCTTGTTAAAGGAAATTCTAGATGATGTGTTTACACAGACAAAGACTAGTCCGGTGTCTGAGTGGCCAAAAGGAATGAAGGATAAAGTGATCAATAGGAGGGTTAATTGAAAGGATCACTGAGACTTTATGGACTTTAATTTTTAGGTGAAGAGAAAAACTGAACGTAAAGTACCCCCTCAGTTTCCCCTGTTGTAAACCTCTTGCATTAGGCAGTACATCTGTTAAAATCAGGGAGTGTGATTATTAACTAAAGACCACACCTGACGTTAGGGTTCACTCTGTGTGTGGATGTCCTCCAGGCTTTGACAGAGCCACAGCGCCGCCCACGTGGTCGCATCGCATCGCAGAGCCCCACTGCCCTGAGACTCCCCTGTGCTGCCGACTTGTCCTTCCCTGCCCCCAACCGCTGCAGCCACCCATCTGTTCGCTGCCTCCACAGTTCTGTTTTTTCCAGAATGTCATAGTTGGAATAATACAGAATGCAGCCTTATCAGGTTGGCTCCTTTTGCTTAGTAATGTGCATTTAAGGTTCCTTCATGAAATCTTTTAAATGCCCAATAGCTCATTTCTTTTTATGTATTTTAAGTATTTTATTTATTTATTATTTGAGAGAGGGGAAGGGAAGAGAGGGAGAGAAACATCAAGGTGTGGTTGCCTCTCATGCGCCCCCTACTGGGGACCTGGCCCGCAATCCAGGCATGTGCCCTGACTGGTAACAGAACAGTGACTCCCCGGTTCGCAGGCAGGCGAGCACTCAGTCCACGGAGCCACACCAGCCAGGGCATCCTTTCTTTTTATCGCTGAACACTATTCCACTGTCTGAATGAACCACAGTTTATTAACTCAACAACTGAAGATGACATCTTGATTACTTCCAAGTTTCGGCAGTTACGAAAAAAGTACGGCATAGTTTTTTAATTTTATCCAAACTCTTGTGTAAAATCACACAAAGCGACTACCATGGCAAAACCAAAAGCCCATGGCCAACATCTGCAACAAAATTAGCTGAAAATATGTCCCCGTACATGTGAGCCTGTGGGGATACACTATCAGCAGCTACAAGACTGGCTGCCATCAGCGCCCGTGAGGGCGATGGCAGGGAGGGCCTGCGGGTGACAGCTCAGCAACATTGATTGGGGAGCGGGGTGAGCCCCCCCGGGAATAGCAGCCGCAAAGGAAGGGCCCGCATCCTCCAGTGGTGACGGCAAGGTGGCCATAGTTATGCCTGAGGGGCTGAGCCGCTCCAGCTCCAGGAACCTCCAAAGCTCAGTGGCCACAGCTCCCTTCCGGAACAACGCTCCACAGGGGAGAAACTTCTCGGGAGGGAATGCCCCCGAGCAGCAGGCAACAGAGGGAAAACGGGAAAAGCAGGTCCAGACAGAAGCAAGGGGGAGAGGCCGGTAAAGGGCGCTCAGAGGGTGAGCTGCCATATTTTTGAAAATTTCACAAAAATAATCTAAGCTAGAGCTGTAGGGCTCAAGCCCTTCCTCTCTAATTGATCAACTGACCAATCAATCAACCTCTCCTTTCTCTCACACATACGCATGTGCACACTCGAGCAACAGAAGGGATTGAAGCCCCATACAGAATGATTACAAGGAAAAAGAACAAGGAACAGACTGACATCTTCCCAGACAGTAAAAGCACGTCAGAAAGGCATCCCATAAAGACACTGAAAGCTCCAGCTTCACATTTCAAGGTGAGCCACAGATATTAAAGGAATAATAGAATGTGTGAAAGGACTACGTGAATCTTTAATAGAAAAATCTCAGAAACAGGTAATATAACTGTAAAGAATTAAAAATAAAACAATAATTTGAGAAATAAAGACTAACTGTAAGGAATACAAGAGCAAATAAACACAACATAAAACACCTTATAAGAAATAGCACATAAAAAAACGGTTTAAATGAAAAAGAAAAGCACAAAGAGAGAAACAAATATGAAGGGCAAAGAAGGTTCACTACGTACACAACAGGAGCCTCCACAGGAGAAAATGGAGGCAAGGCGGCAGAACAAACCCTCAAAGTGATAACCTGGGAAAAAGATCTACGACTGCATATAGAGAACATGACAGGTATGTGGGAAACCAACCCCGAATGATACATTCTGGAACTACTAGACTTTAAAGGGAAAAAAAACTAGGCATGAAAGCAAACAGACCAAGTAACCTGTAAGGGACAGAAAATGAAAGTGACATCAGCTTTTGATGGCCATGTTTATTACACAAAGAAGTGGAGAAGAGCCCAAGGCTCTCTTGAAAAGAAAATAGGAGCCCAGGACTTCCGAGCCAGACAGCCTCTCAGGTGCGAGGGAGGAGTCCATGCCAGAGCGCGCTTCGGGGCGCCGCAGGGGAGGGGCGTGGGCGCCGAGGCTGGCAGCGGGCATTGGCCGCAGAGGCTGGCAGCGGGCATTGGCCGCAGAGTCACGGGGTGGGGGGGACGACGTCTGCACGGCGACGGGACACAGCCCGCCTCGGCTGCGCGTCTGATGAGGAGCGGGGAGCAAGACTACAGAGACGGGAGGGGGAGGAAGATGGAAAAATGCAAAAAATTTTAACCTTTCACTCATCACCCTGATTCTAATACTGGTGTTATCTTCTGACAATATTTTACGTGTGCTGTGGGGTAAAGTAAATGAATAATTAACTCATGTTTAAGTCCTGTTATCTCTGATGTCCTTGAGTACCAGAAATCTTGATGTGGCAAAAAGGAGATGTATGACAGAAGTTAAATAAATGCCCGTTAACCTGAATTTGAATTGAAAATCCCATATGAGCTCTTGTGCTATATCCTGGAAAAACGTATTTCCTGTTTTGGCCCACTAACAAGGCCTGTAAGCACTGGCCACTCCCATGGGGAAGCCTCGCGCCCCCACCTGGCCAGCGTGCGGGGCACCAGGACAGTGGACAGAGAAGGCTCAAGAACAGCTCCTCCAGCTCAGATGGCCAGGCACGGCAGCCGGCCTCAGAAGGGCGCAGGGAGGAGCCACGGGCACGCATCCTTGTCTCCCCCGCCGCTGTTTCCCCCCCTGGGGCAGGAGGCCGGCTCTGGCAGAGCAGGCCTCGGGTTCTGTTTAACGCCGGAGCCCCAGTACCCAGGACAGGGCCCGTTTCTGTAGGTGCTCAGCACAGCGTTTGCTGCATGAGTGAACAGCACAGAAGGGCCTGGGCTATTTGACAGGGGAAGACGCCTCCAAAACGACCGAGCGCACACACTGTCCACTACAACGTTAAACCACACGCAGGTCAGGCGCACGCTCTGTGAACTGCACTGAGCAGATTCCTAGAAATCCAGGAGCAGAAAGGGCACCCGAGGGTCCGCTGAGTCCCTCCTGCCACCAACCCTGCCCTCCTTCCCTCCTTCTGCCACCCCCCCGCCCCCACATCTGCATCAAGCTCCTGAGCTCATACAAAATGAATATCGATTGTAAAAGACCTATTTATTATGTATTTGAGGTATGAAAATGTCTGATGTTTCCTTTATGTATTACACTAGTCTTAGAGTTCAGGGAATACAAAGTTTTTCAGCGGTTCACATTCAACTTTAGGGTTCTCGTCCCATTTTCTTTGATGAGGTTTTATGCACTTCAATCTCAAAATGTGCTAGAGGCCCACCTTCAGGGACTAAACACCCTCAGGTGGGAAGGGGCAGCCGCGCATTTTGGGGAAAATTCGAGGCACACAGCTCTATTTCTTGACTCATCTCAAATAGGAAGCCCCTGGGCAGAGTGCTCGCCAAGGACTCACAGGTGAGAAAGCCCGCCAAGGACTCTGACGCCAGCCCCCACCCCCCAACACCTCGCAACCAAGGGCTCTAACAGGGTTTTCAGTTACTCGACTTGGGGTGGCTCCTTTCTGAGCTGTAGAGTCTGGGACAAATGAAAGAGAAGAATTACTTAAAAGAAAAATGGTCTAGCTTAATTACAATTAATGTGAGAAGCATTTAAGTCTTTCCCGATACTTTTTAGCGTATAATACCTATAGTACATTCATGGTAGATTTTTATCCTAAGGAGCTCTAGAGTTTAAAGTTGAGTAAATAAGTTAAAGGCTCTTGATCGTAAAAAAAAACAACCTCAATAAAGAAGAACATAGGATCCTACAGTATACAATACAAACACAGCAAAGGTGTAAGAAGCTAACAATCAATCAGAACATTACTCCTTCGTAAATAGGCAAAATTTAACTTTAAAAGACAAACAATAAAACTTACCTTTTAAAGATGGTAGTTTCTGAAGTTCCCTATTGTTGCTGACGCTAAATCTGGAGGAGTTCTGCCGTCTGTCTTTCTTCACGACGGGCTGAGGGGCCGACACTTTTATTTTGCTAGACACCGCCGGTGGCACCGCAGTGAGGCTGTTCTTCCTGCTGGTGATCTGTTCCCAAAGCAAACACAGGAACAGGTATGTCAATGGCTTGATTTCACAGCACACTTAGAATACGGAAACAATACATAAAAGCTTTACTCTGGGACTCCCGCTCTACTGGAAACAGTGTAATTCCGCGCAGCCTCTGTGCTGGGGCTCCATCCCGCCTCTTGTCACGCCCTTTGAGACTTTGAGAGGTTCACGGATATACCCGATTCCCTCTGTCTCCCTTTGGACGTTTAAGTATTCGCCAGACGGGGTGATACACGTGTACCCTCCAAGGATGTTCACGTACAACCCCTGGGACCTCACTTGGCGAAACGGATTCTGCAGACGTGATGAGGTCAAGAGCCCGGCACCGGTGGCTGGTCCGGGGCTACCGGGGCGAACCCCAGGTGTTCACACGACAGGGGAGGGCAATGAGACGAAGCAGCAGGGGTCACACAGAGACTGGCATGTGCCACGCTGCTGGCTTCGGAGACGGAGGAAGGGATCGTGAGTCCAGGAGGGCAGGCAGCTTTGAGAAGCTGGGAAAGGCAAGGAATCATTTTTCTCTACAGCTTCCGGAAGGAACTAGTTATACCGACATGTTAATTTTGGCCCCATTTCAGACTTCTGACCCAAGTTAAGATAAAAAGTTTATGTTCTTTTCAGCCACTGAGTTTGTGGTTATTTGAACAGCAGCAACAGGAAACTAGCAGAGCTGAATACCTTGTAAATGGCAGGTCCCCCTCCCAGCCCACCACTCGGTGCCGGGAACCCGCGCAGGCCAGTGGGGCAGTCCCCCCAACCCCCGCCCTGGCTCGGCCGTGGGAAACTCCTTCCAGCTTCTCTCTCCGCACATGCACCTGCGGGCTCCAGGCTCAGCGCTCGCCCCCCGACGGCACGGCAGCTGGACTGCCGCAGGGGCGTCCAGGCTGAGAAGTGGCGTGCACACTAAGCAGCAGTGGGTGAGGGCGGAGGGCACACGCAGCACTGTGGGGCCCCTGGCATCCACACAGGCCTAAGTGGACCAGGGGGCACAGGTGGCCCTGTGGGGCTCTGCGGCGCTGCCCCGGGCAGTGACAGCAGACAGGTGCCCTGGTGAGGGGCAGCCGCGCGGGCTCTCTGTGCAGCGACGGCGCCCCCCGTGCCTGCCCCGCAGTCCGGCCCAGGTGGTGCAGCGCGCCCCCGCACAGCATGCCCGCGGAGAGCCAGCCCGGCCTGTCCCAGAAGCACAGGCCCGCAGGGCCGAGGAGAGCGGCCTGCCGGCTCACACCTCCAGCCACTTACTCTCATCACTGAACAGAAGTTTGACTAAAAAAAGTGCCGCGTTAGTTTTTAATAAGGTGCTGAAGAACGCCGTGCTGGGAAGTTTTCCAAGGTGCCGGCACACCAGGCGCCGGTGGACCCGAGCGGGAGCAGGGCCGGCCCCGCCCTCAATGTTTGTCACTTTCCACCTGACCACGAGGGCATGGGCCTTTCCCCTTCAAAAACCCCGTCTGCTACTCCCCTCCTCCACGGGATCCCCCAAGCCACAGCTTCCTCCTTGGCTCTCCAGGCGTCCCCAGAAAAGCCCCATGTGTGCCTACCCCAGAGGCACGACCGGCAGGAGAGTGGCCCCGGGCAGGGGGAAGCGGGGACTGAGAGAGGCTGCTCGGTGGGGAGGAGCCTCCTCCTGGGGTCAGGACAGCGCTCTGGAACCAGGCAGCGGCGGTGATGGTCAGACACCACTGCGAACACACTGAGTGGCACTAGTGGTGCATTTGTGCTGTGTGCCTTTTACTGCATATAAAAAAGTGTTTCATCTGTTCCTTTTCAGCTTGTTCAGGGACCCCCCCCCCCACCTTGCCCCCACGGCACCAGGCCGAGTCAGGAGCTTCCTTCTCCTGTGAACCCCTGACCTCTAAATATGGCCTGTAGCTCTCTGCCTCCCACACTGGGGTGGTGGGCTTCTCCCTGACAGGACGTTGGGGGCTCACCCATGAGCCCCAGCATCAAGGCCGGTACTCGGCACCCAGCAAGCAGGGAGCCACTGGCGGGCGGGGGAACCACGCCCTGGCTGCTGGCCGACCGCTCCGAACCAGAGCCAGCCTCTGCCCCTGCCCTCTCCCAGGCGGACGTGACCGGCGAGTACCCCAGGTGCCAGCAGGCCCACCTGCCTCGAAGGCAGAGCACGCCCAGCCGGGGAGGGCCTGAGCGTCAGCAGGACACGGAGTGGTGGACGGCAGCCGAGCTGCTGGGCTCGGGGCACTTGCTCGGAGTTCACTCGCAGTGTCAACACTGGGTTATCTGTCCTGAAGCTACAAGAAATGTCTGAGGAGAAGCACGGTGCTGCACAACCACTGGGCTTGCAGAAAGTTTGAAACAGCCCGAGGTCCTCCTTGCCTGTCCCCGCTGGGGCGAAGGGTCCAGGCGGCCTTGTTCTCACCTGCTCGTTCAGTGATGCGGCCGACGCCCACGACCCACCGCAGCCTCCCGCAGCCTCTCCTTTTGGCGCAGTGACAGGGAATGATCTATCAAAGTCAGTGCTACATATCAAACGCAAATCGAAACGGTCAACCTGCTCCTGTCACTGCGGGTGGGCAGCCACAGGACGTCTGAGCGGGCGTGTGGCGCCCCACGCGAGGCAACTGCGTTTTCCGATGAGGTGTGGGCGCTTTGGGGATCATCCGAAAGCCCCGTCGGAGACTCAAACTGCAGCGACACCTACAGAGTGGGAGCCATGCCCTTCCCTCCGCAGGGGAGGTTTCCCACCGGAGGCACTGGGATTCTCGACGTTTCCGTAGTGGGGTCCTAGAGGAGGGGAAGGGCAGTGGCTGTCTCAGGCAGGTCTGGACCCTGTGTGAAGGCAGCAGGAGCCCAGCCGGGGTGGTGACCTGCTGCACAGTGCCTGGTCCACGGGGAGGGGCGGAGGCAAAGGGCCATCCGCCTATGGGGAGCCAGGCCCCCTCCCCAGTCCTCCCACAGCAGCCTGTGCGCAAGGCTGCACCTCTGAGGCGGAGGGAATGAGATTCTGGAGGCTTCCCTTCACGCCCTGGAGAAAGTGGCCACTGCAGTTTCAAACGGGAGGTGCTTCAGGCCTGCACCTCCCAGTGCCTGGCGGTCACCCCCAGACCCCCAGCCTCTGTGCAGCCAAGCAACAGCTCTTTCTCCACACGTTCAGAGTGAAAAACAAATGAGTGCTTGGGAGGTTTTCTGTAGCTTGAGCTATTTCACTCGAGCAACAAGTAGGCAACTGGATGTGTGGCAAAGCCTCACTCCCAGCCGGTTCCCCACAAAGGGGTCACCGTCCCTCCCACTCAAACACTGCAAGTCTAAAAACTCACAACAAGATGTAAGACAGTTATTGTTCAATCAGGCAGGTCAAACCACTGGTCTCTCAGTAGCTTCTAGATGGTGAATGAAGTGAAAAAAGCAAACCAAACCAAAACCAAGGGGCACTTCTTACACACTATACCCACCGCTGGTCTCCGATGAGAGCCCACGCTGAGACCCACAGGGCGGCAACCGCGCCCAGCTCCACTGAGGTCTCTCCCAGTGCCAAACCAGATTTGGATTCCACCAGGCTGGGGTTACCAAGATAAAGCCCACAGGCCACAGCTGGCCCCCTGCCTGCTTGGTGGACGAAGTTTTATTAGCGCATGGCCACGGCTGTTTGTTTACATGCTGTCTGTGGTTGCCACTTGCTGCCACACCGGAGCTGAGTAGTTGCCCTTTACAGAAAAAGTTTCTGACCCCTACACTAGGCCGACAACCCTGGCTGGGAGGTGAGAATAAGGACAGAGAACATCTTCGGGATCAAGAATGACCACACACACACACCAACCAGCAAGCCTCAGGAGCCCCGATTACCAGCAATAATGAAGGAATGAGTGGGTTAAAAGCTCCAGCGCAAGAGATCTGCGTGGGCAGCCCTTGGTGCACCTAAGGACAAGAGCACGCACAGACGTCAGGAGGGAAGGGAGCAGACAGAGAGGTGGGTGCGGCTCAGGGAGAAGGGCGGCGATCCGCCCCGCCCCCAGAGTCCCCGAGGGGCTTGGCCCTCTGAAACTCTGCAGGGCACGAGTGACACAGGGAGTGGAAAAGAAGATGAATTTGTGCTCTGAACACCGACCTGTCCACAGCTGCTGAATGCCTGCTCGGCTCTGGCGGACCAGTGTTCAGGAGGGGAGGAAAGGAACTCCCCAAAGAAACCCGGCTGTCTAGGAAAACCCACGGCTGCTCGTGTTGCAGCAAAGCACTGCGCTCTGGCCTTCGGGGCCGTACGCCGCAAGGGCAGCTCTCAGTTCAGGCCCGTAAAGCAAGCCGCCAGCTGACAAGCCATCCGAGTCCGGGGCCCCCGGACGCTGTACCAGGGCCTCTCCTTCGCACATGCAGACAAGGGCACCGAGAGGGCCTGTCTTCTAGCGGCCTCCCTGCTTCAATTCTTGCCCCTCTGTTTCCTCACAGAGATCGGCTGCAGGCGCTTTTAACGCTCAAGGCAAATCGACTCTCTTCCCTGCTCAAAATGCTTCCACTGTGTCCCATCATCCTCAGAATCAAAACCCCGAACCCTGCCAAGGGCCGCGGACGAGGGCCTCCCGCACCCTGCCCGTGTCCCTCTCCCCAACCTCATGTATCCCTCCCCTCTATCCCTCCCCTCCGAGCGCCCTCACTTCTCCTCGGTGGAGCTGGCCTTTCTCCCGGAGGACACCCCAGCGCCCTGGTGCCGCAGACGCCCGCACGGCTGCTTCCTCAGGCTGCCTGCTCCTCCCCAGAGCTTTGTGCCCCGCTCCCTCTTCACCCTCGGGTCTCATCTTTAATGTCATCTCCTTGGCGAAGCCACCCCTGACCACCCAGGTCTCTACGGGGGAGCGGGCACTGCCAGAGGTGCTCGTGCACCCCCCTCCGGGGACTTCTGGAAACTTGTGAGTGCGGCTTTGCTAACAAAATGACCAGAGGGAGCTCCTGGTGCCCAGAGGCCCAGGGCCACTGCTCTGCGAGGCGTGCGGCGCCCTCACCCCAAATGCCCCCAATGCCCCCTAGAA